GTCATGGGCCACCACACCCAGCTGCACCTGGCTTCTGTCACCACCAGCAGTCTTAGCCTGGCAGCCATGACTGTAGCTCTGCTTCTAGGCCTACAACTTCTCACATTCACTTAAATAGTTTCTCTAGAATGTTCTTCTTGCTTTTACCACTTATTGTCTGGGTTACCAAGGGAATAGAAGACAGTAATGTTTACTAAAATGTATCTGAAAGCTTGGGGATAATAACATATATTAACAGAGTATCTGATAACAGTAATTTCCTTAGACTGACTTCTAAATGCAACCATTGGGCCCATATGGTGACAATCAAGTTTTACAGGGTCATAGGGTTAGGGAGATTCTTACCATCAAGAATATGTTGGCATTTCCCAAAATGGAGCCCCAGGCACCTATGCATGTGCTCATGCCTTAGACTAAGAGAGAGAACTTCCTTTTAGAACTCAAAGCTTCAAATGAGGAATAACTCTTGGGCAGCGCCCCATTGACAATATGCAAAACATAACCTGCCTTCCAAAGCCTACACAAAGCTATCACACTCTGCAACATTTCCCAGTTAGGTTTATTTTGCCATAAAATAATTCTATCCAAAGCCAATCAATTTAGCATTAGAATGGGCCATGGAACAGTGACTTTTTTTATTAGCCTTTCACCTGAGAGTGAGGTAAAATGGCAGTGAGCCTCTGTTTCGTTAATCTTATAGTGTTTTTTTTTCTTTTATCATTTTTTATTTTAATTTTAAATAGCTTGTTTTACATGTCAATCCCAGTTCCCTCTCCCTCCCTCCTCCCTCCCTCCCCTTCCCCCAAAGCCTCCCACCCTCCCCTTCCCCCCCAGCCAACCACCCTATTGCCACTGATAGAGAGTCTGGGAAACAGGAAAGAACCTAAAAGATATGCATATATGCATAGTACCCAAGAGAAGAGGATTGAGACAAGATCCTCTGAATGGATGGGGGAATACGGCGAGGGGTGGGGGAGAGTGGGAGCTGGGAAGAAGAGAGGGGGAGAAGAGGAAGAGAGAGTAGGTCATGAGGGAACAGGAAGTTGAGTGGGTGGGGGTAGAATAGGGGGAAGAGGGAATCATAGGTTAGAAGACAGATCAGGCACCAGAGTGACCTCGAGTGATCTAAAGGGATAACACCAATTGGCAAGCTAAGCAATAGTGGAGGGACCACCTTGAATACCCATTCCTGATAATGAACTTGATGTCTATAACCATCCGGGAGCCTTCATCCAGTGATTAATGGAAGCAGAGGCAAACACCCACAGTTAAATACTGAACAGAACCCAAGGAACCCAGTGACAGAGAGAGAGGAGTGATGAGCAAATTGGCAAAGAATGGGCTGGCAAAACCAGCAGAGACAGCTGATCTGAACAGGGGAGAGCTCTTGGACCCCAGAAGGACAGTGGGGAGGCCAGCATGGGACTGATCTGGACTCCCCAAATGTGAGTGTCAGCGAGAAGGCCTGGGCAACCTATGGGGCCCTGAGCTGTGGATCAGTGTCTATCCCTGGTATACAAACTGTCTTCGTGTGCCTATAGCACAAAGAGGGATGCTCTCTCAGCCTGGACTCTTAAGGGCGTGCCTGGACCCTACCCAGAGTGAAATGACAGACTCTAGATATCCCCTATGTGGAAGGATTTGGCAATCTTATAGTGTTTTGTGAGAAAATAACTGGACCAAAAGGCATGAGCACATGCATAGGTGCATACATGCTCTCATGACCACACTTTTTAGGTTTGGGGAAGAGTGTCCAAAACAAAGTAATGAGAGTACCACTGAAGAGAATATGCATTTAATGATTAATAATCTTGAAAACACTCTAACTACAGAGTCTTAATCTATCATTAAAACACTAGGAAAAGGAGTTCATTATTTCCTCTATATTTGTCAAATTAGACGATTTTGATAAAACTCTTAAGGAGTTTTGCTAGAAGGTGAACTCAAGATTCCCTAATGGTTCCTTTGCCCAGAGTCATTGTTCAGTTCCTTGAGTACTTAGCAAAATAAATTTCTGCTCACCCAAAGTAGATGATATAAGTATCTGCCTTACAATATTTTTGTAGGAAAACTTCCTCAAGGTAGCTACAGTTATGTTTTCAAAGTATGTCTCCTCTAAAGTGTATATTAAAATGTAAATGTCACTGTCAGTGTTGAGAGGCGAGATCCAGGCCTCGAAGGCACTGCCTTCATGGGTAGCCTCAGTTCTGTTATGAAGGGCAAGACTGGCCTTCTCAGCTTTTCTTTCAACTGGCTGTCTTCTTATACTTCATAGGCTCCAGAATTGAAGGCCAATAAACTTACATATATTATAAATTATTCCATCCATGGTGGTCCAGCTATACAGACTAAGACACTTAGTGCTTTGAGGTGATGTGGATAACCTGTGCTTATCTGTCTTAGCCTTCTACATGTAGGAAATAACAACAGAGCAAAGAATTTAGGGCATATACGTGTGTGGCTGATGGCTATCAGCTAGTGCTGTACTGAGAGGTACTTCTTAATCTCTCTGTACTTCTCTCATCTGTAAAGGGATGCACCCACCTTAGAATTGTGCTTAAAATAAGTGAAATAAGGCATATACATTCTAGAGTTTTGGCATAATAAGCACTGTCATAATTATGGGCTGGAGGAGAAAACAGAAAGTCCAAGACCAGTAGTAAATGACTATTTTTAGCCAGATAGTGAGAAGACGCTGTTTGTAATCTGTTCTAGAATTTTCTTAAAACCTTAAAAATCCATGTTTTAGCTACTCCTGGAAATATACATTAGTCAATTTCAGTTTGTTGGGCTGAATTTCCTAGTTCCTCAGTTTCTGTGAAATGTGTTTACAATTGTCCACCGTTTCATTATTCTTGGCTGTAAGTTGTTGGTCTAAAACTGGTGCTGATTTAATAAACTGAAATCTGCTTCCCTGTGTCCTGTTCAGGTTTTGGTCCTCTGGTACATGTGGATCACATCTTTTCCAGTCTAAGAACACCTATAAACAAACCACCTGGCACTCAGTAGCTATGACTTCAGCTTGGAACAGTGCTCCCATCCATATGGTTTTACTTTTTGAGTTCTTGCTCCCCATCACCTGAAAATATCTCTGCTGTCATCTGCATTTTCACAATTTTATTCTATTTCTAAACTTATCAAGTTGACACCATTAGACTTAATTCTGAATACGCACTTGTTTCACACATGCTCGTCTTTTTAGAAGCTAAGCTTAGTTGAGAGTGGACGCCTGTGCAGCTACATGGAATGGACTAGGAAGCCTCCTCCTGTGCATCAGTGGGGCCTTAATTGTCAAAATTAATTATAATTACATATGAATCCCTCTTAAATCATAGACATTTTTACTATAGACTCATAGCTGATTTTTGAAGACGTTTATTTTTATTATTTGTATGTGTGATCAGGCTAGTGTGCCACAGTGCGACTTCCAGGGCCAATTCTATCACCCCACTGTGGGTTCTGGGGATCACACTTGGTTTCCAGGGGATGCTTGCTTTCTGTTGCTATGACAAAACACCACAACCAAAAGTGACTTATGAAAGAGTTTATTTTGACTTATGATTCCAGAGAGATAAAAGCCTATTGTGGGTAAGAGAGCAGGGCAGCAAGAGGCAGGAATGGCAGCAGGAGCAAGAAGCTGAGAGCCCACATCTCAAGGCCAAGCACTAAGTAGAGCAGACAGAAAGAAAGAGGTCTGAGACTTTAAACTCTCAAAGGCCACCTCCTAAGGCGGTGCCTACTAAACCGCCCCAAACAGCATCACCAGTTAGGGACCAACTATTCAAATCCCTGAGCCTGTGTGGGACGTTTTCTCTTAAACTGCCATACTTGGCAAGTGTTTTCATATGCTGAATCATTTCACCAAGCCAACATTTAATTTCTTACACCCAAGAGCATGCTGAACCCTAATCAGATCCCAAACTTGCAGGTGTGGATGGAGTTACTGTCCTCCAAGGCCTCTCCTCCTAAATCACACAGGTTTGGTGATTTTACCAGAGTTGACTAACAGTTCATTGCTCTCTCTCTTTCTAAGGGTTGAATGGTCATAGATGCTAAGAAATCATCAGTTCTTTTTTTACGAAGCATTGAGTACTGACATTTCAGGAACATTGGAGATAGTTTTCCTTAGGACAGTTTTTTTTAGGAAAAAATTTACAGGTTTATGAATTATAAATAAATGTGAGTTGTGCTCTATTTCATTGTGACATGACATAGAGGAGAAAGCAGTAAAATAGAATGACTGTCCTGAAATAACAAAAATTTCATGACTGTTGTGTTTCACTGTTATATATGTATAGCATGATATGCTCTTGTAGGATTTAAAATGTGTTCCATGATGTGGGGGAGGGTTATGAACTAATATCTTTGCAAAATATCATTTTAGACAATTATGCATTGTTTTGTATAATAAAAGCATAGAACATAATTTTTAGATTAAAGCATGTTTAATTTATGTGTGCATAGTCTAAAAGTAAAATAATATAAATATAAGAAAAATATAACTACTGTATTAATATTTATGGCTCTATTACTAGAAGATAGTGTAATAATTGAGTGGCTATATCTTAGCTAAAACATATGACTATTTTTAGATACAAGCTCGTGTCCTTTCAAAAACATTTACTTCTATATTTAAGAATCCTAGAGGACAGTCTCAGTAAAGTGCTCACTGTTACCATGCGAACCTGAGCTTAGATCCCCAAGATGGGCATGCAATCCCAGCACTGGGGGTCAGGACAGGAAAGGGATGGGAGGACGAGGCAGATATGAGCAGGTTCCTGAAGTTCCCTAGTCAGCCTGCATAACAGCATTAGTGAGCTCCAGGTTCAGTGGTACACATACAGACGCACACACACACCATACTCACAAAACGTGATAATATTTTAATTCTAAGCTAATGCCTTGTTAAATCAAGTCACTGGATATTCGTAGACTTTAAAGATCAAATGAAAATTTCCTTCATGATTTGACAGTGCATTTCCATTTCTTTTTCCATGAAGAGAAAATGGTGGTTACACAGTGAAGCACCAGTGTCTGTCTCCCAACCATCTTACGACACCAAGAGCACCCAGAGGAGTGATTTTCAAAAGCCAGCATGCCCGCTGGTTTTGCCAGTCAAATACAGCAGGCTGCAAAAGCCTACTTGTGGAATAGGTAAGGTCAGTCGTGGTAAAACTTTTTTATTACTCACTTTCCTGCTATTGAATTAAGGTGTATTGTATGTGTGGGCACCTTCTGAGAAAATGACCTCCCTACAGGAGTTGAAAACACATGGACAACAGAGAGCCATCTTAAAGGCTGTTATTCCTTCCCAGTGGATAGCATATCTCCAGACACTGTCCTAATCATTAGTCACACCAGCTTCAAAGTCAGAAACTTAGGAGCACTCTGCTCAGTTTTGCCACCAAATTCTAAAAACTGTAACTATTTAAATAACATCTAACCTTAAATAACAGATTCTCAAAGTATACTCTCAGTGGCACTGATTGTTGTGGGTGTAGAATGTCTCTTATAAGTTGATCTCCAGGCTGTGATGTATTTGTAGAGCCTTTGGGATGTGGATGCCCCACCCCTTGGGAGACCCCACCCAACTTTTTGTTCTCTCTCTGCCTCCTGACTGTCAGTGCAGTTTGATTGCCCAGCCTCAGACACCTGCCAACCATGCCTTCCCCACCGTAATGGACTCTATTCCTCTGGGACTGTAAACCACAATGAATCATTTTCTCTTTCTCTTTTTTTTTTTTTGTTTGTTTAAATTTAAATTAGAAACAAGGTTGCTTCACATGTCAATTCCAGGTCCCTCTCCGTTTCCCGTGCCCTCCCACCAACCCCCCCCAATATCCCCTCATTTCCCCAGGGAGGCTGAGACCCTCCATGGGGGTGTCCATAGTCTGTCATTTCATCCAGGGCAGGGCCTAGACCCTCCCCCAAGAGTTCAGGGTGAGAGTGCATCTCTCATTGTTGGATGAGAGTCCAAAGTCCATTTGTATACCTAGGATAAATACTGATCTACTACCCAAGGCCCAATAGATTACCTAGGCCTCCTCACTGACACCCACATTCAAGGGGTCTTGATAAGTCCCATGCTGGATTCCCAGGCATCAGTCTGGGATTCAAGAGCTAACCCTTGTCAGGTTAGCTGTTTCTGGAGGTTAAACCAGCCCAGTCTTAATCCCTTTGGTCATCAGTCCCCCTCTGTTACTGGCTTTCTTGAGTTCAGCTCACTGCTTAGCCATGGGAGTCTGCCTCTGCTTCCATCAGCCACTGAATGAAAGTTCTGTTTTCCAGACTCTCTGGCCATGGGATTGTAGGTTGGCATTCCCCAGATCTATGTCTAAAATCCATATAGAGAGAGTACATACCGTGTTTCTCTTTTTGTGACTAGGTTATCTCGCTCAGGATGGTTTCTTCTAGTGCCATCCATTTGCCTGCAAATTTCAGGATTCCATTGGTTTTTTTTTTCTGCTGAATAGCACTCCATTGTGTAAATGTACCACATTTTCTCTATCCACTTTCGGCTGAGGGGCATCTAGGTTGCTTCCAAGTTCTGACTATTACAAATAATGCTGCTATGAACATAGTGGAACAGACATCCTTGTTGTATGAATGGGCATCTTTTGAATATATGCCTAAGAGTGGAGTTGCTGGGACTTGTGGTAGGTTTATTCCCATTTTTCTGAGGAATCTCCATACTGATTTCCAAAGTGGCTGTACAAGTTGGCACTCCCACCAGCAGTGGAGGAGTGTTCCCCTTTCACTACAACCTCTCCAGCATAAATTGTCCTTGGTGTTTTTGATTTTAGTCATTCTGACAGGAGTAAGATGGTATCTCAGAGTTGTTTTGATTTGCATTTCCCGGATGGCTAAGGATGTTGAGCACTTTCTCAAGTGCCTCTCAGCCATTTTAGACTCCTCTATTGAGAATTCTCTATTTAGTTATGTAGCCCACTTTTTAATTGGATCCTTTGGTGTTTTGGAGACTTGCTTCTTGAGTTCTTTGTAAATTTTGGAGACCAGCCCTCTGTCAGATGTGGGGTTAGTGAACATTTTTTCCCATTCTGTGGGCTACCTTTTTGTCTTGCTGACTGTGTCCTTTGCCTTACAGAATCTTCTCAGTTTCAGGAAGTCCCATTTATTAATTGTTGATCTCACTGTCTGTGCTACTGGTGTTATGTTCAGGAAGCTGTCTCCTATACCAATTTGTTCAAGGGTACCACCCACTTTCTCTTCTAAGAGGTTCAGTGTGGCTGGATTTAAGAACACATCAAACAATCATTCACCACGATCAAGTAGGTTTCATCCCAGGGATGCAGGGATGGTTCAACATACAAAAAATCCATCAATGTAATTCACCATATAAACAAGCTGAAAAACATCTCACTAGATGCAGAAAAAGCCTTTGACAAAATCCAACACCCCTTCATGATAAAGGTCTTGGAGAGATCTGGGATAACAGAAACATACCTAAATATAATAAAAGCTATATACAGCAAACCAACAGCCAACATCAAACTACATGGACAGAAACTCAACACAATTCCGCTAAAATCAGGAACAAGACAAGGCTGTCCACTCTCTCCATACCTTTTCAATATTGTACTTGAAGTTCTAGCTATTGCCATACGACAACAAAGGGGGATCAAGGGGATACAAATTGGAAAGGAAGACGTCAAACTTTCACTATTTGCAGATGATATGATAGTTTACATAAATGACCCAAAGAACTCTACCAGGGAACTCTTACAGCTGATTAACATCTTCAGCAAAGTAGCAGGCTACAAGTTCAACTAAAGAAAATCAGCAGCACTACTATATACAGATGATAAAAGGGCTGAGAAAGAAATCAGAGAAACATCACCCTTTACAATTGCCATAAACAACATAAAATTCCTTGGGGGTAACGCTAACCAAACAAGTGAAATACCTGTATTGCAAGAACTTTGAGTCTTTAAAGAAATTATGGAAGCCCTCAGAAAATGGAAAGATCTCCCATGTTCTTGGATAGGCAGAATCAATGTAGTAAAAATGGCAATCCTGCCAAAAGCAATCTACAGATTCAATGCAATCCCCATTACAATCCCAGCACAATTCTTCACAGACCTTGAAAGAACAATAATAAATTTTGTATGGAAAAACAAAAGACCCAGGATAGCCAAAACAACCCTGTTCAACAAGGCAACATCTGGAGGCATCACCATCCCTGACTTTAAGCTCTATTATAGAGCTATAGTCCTGAAAACAGCTTGGTATTGGCACAAAAATATACAGGCAGACCAATGGAATCGAATTGAAAACCCTGATATTAACCCACACACGTATGAACATCTGATCTTTGACAAAGAAGCTAAAAATATACAATGGAAAAAAGAAAGCATCTTCAACAAATGGTGCTGGCATAACTGGAGGCTGGCATGTAGAAGAATGCGGATCCATCCATGTCTATCTCCCTGCACAAAACTTAAGTCCAAATGGATCAATGACCTCAACATAAAACATGAATCCTTTTCTCTTACATTGCTTTATATCAGATAATTTTGTCACAGCAAAAGAAAAAGAAACCAAGATGCTAATTGTTAATGCTCCTTACAGATAGTGCTTAAAAAAAGAAGAAACAGTCAATTAAGTTTTATGAAACATAAATTTTAAAATTAAATAAAAAATTTAGCCTGTAGAATGTAAGAATAAACATAATGGTTTCCAAAGCGTAGTTCCTTATTTTTTATCATCTCATTCTGATTTTTGGATTGTCTCATGATTAGTGCTTAAAACATATAACTTAGGAAATACTATTACAGATTATTAAATACTTTTAGATCTAGAATGATTTTACCTGACAATGTCCTTATAGTAAACTGAGTCATATTGTATTAAAACTGTAATGCTAATAAGGGTCAACAAAGGATTCCCTTTAGAGATCTGTAGTGCCCTGACCTCTGTGATTTGGCTAGTCTAGTTGAAGATACAAAGGTTAGCTACGACAGAGATCACAGCATTAGAAAAAAAAATGATCATATTGCAGCATGGTTCCTAGTCCAGGGTAGGGGTTCATGAAAAGGTCTAAGTAGTCTGAACATGGCCTCTCCTTCAGAAAGAAAAGTTCTGCTTCTGACTCATGATGTAGATACAGATAGCTACTTTTTCTGCCTCCCAAGATTCTAGGAAATAGTAGCAGATAAACAAGCGATGAAGGTGAATCAAATGGACTGACTTTTTTTACGGGGTTCATGGGAGAAAGAATGCAGCCAACTGATGGGCCAAAGAGAACAAAGAAGCAACACCTAACAATGAAATGCAGAAAACAAAACAAAACAGATCTTTATAATAGAACCTCAGGCATATCAGCAGACACAGGAGAGGACAAGAATGAGGACAATAGGAGAGCGGTACTCGGCCAGGCTTTCCCACACAGTGGTTTCTACCCTGTCTTAACATTAACTACCAAAGAGCCGGGCATCATGGCACACGCCTTTAATACTAAAAATTAAATTAACATAAATATCAACTAGAGCAAAGTCCATACATTTTTAAAAGCATGTTTTGTGGGACATAGGAGCTTCATAAGAAAATGAAGATTCAACAACACATAATTGAGCCCCTGTGTCCTGACTGGGACAGAGTTGCGAACTGTGAAGACCTGAAAAGGCAAAGAAACTTACTTGGTCCAGGTCAGCTACCTGGATGGAAAGCTAGTAACTGGTAGAGAAGGGCCAGGTTAATGGGACTGCCCTGTACAGATGCCCTTCTAGGTCCCATTTCGCTGGAGTGACAATGAGATGAGACTTTCCTTCTAGAGACAAAGGGCCTCTTTTACATTGGAATCTTACCTCATGCTGCATACGATCATTTTTTTTTCTAATGCTGTGATCTTCAGCCTAGCTAACCTTTGTATCTTCAACTATATTGACCAAATCACAGAGGTCAGGGCACTACAGATCTCTAAAGGGAATCCTTTGTTGACCCTTAGTAGCATTATGGTTTTAATATAATATGACTCAGTTTATTATAAGGACATTGCCAGGTAAAATCACTCTAGATCTGAAAATATTTACTAATCTGTATAAGGAAGCTCAGACATTGAGGGTTTTGTGATGGCATCTGTCTAATCAGTCTCTCCCACTTCCCTCCCTCCCCCTGCTCTCCTCCCAGCCAGCTCC